TTTAGTCAAATTGTTTTCCAGAAGACATTTTACTGAATGTTCCTAACAAAATATGTTTTCAATAATATGAGAAACACAAATATCGTCGATAAAATTAAATAAACTATTTACCATAATTAAATTGCTAATAGCAATGTTGATAGCAGAAATGAAATTCTCAACAAAGTTGGAAAATTTTAAATGGTTAATCACACTGTTATTAGCAAATATCCATCAAACACTAAGTAACAGTTACATAACTGTTAGTTATAATTTCCTACTCAACAATATAACTAGTATATAATATGTATGTTATATAATAGTTATATCATTGAGTGGAAAATTATAACTAACAATTATATAACTATTATGTTACTTAATGTTTGCTGGATATATGCTATAAACAAATTTGATAATTTTTATAATACAACCAATTAAAATAAAATTTTTATTATTAACAATGTTGCTAACATAAATTTAATCTTCTGCCAATAACATTTGCTTTCAATCTTTGATGGATCATCACTTGCAGAAATAATGTTTTTGACAATGTTGGTGACAAAGTTATCAGCATGTTATCAAAATAAGTAACTTTTGTCACTAGCATTTATTTTCTACAAAATGTTGAAAATAAATCCCAGCAAACACAATATTACATGTAATATACATGTTAATTATAATTTCCTACTCAACAATGTAACTGTTATATAATATATGTGTTATATAACAGTTATATTGTTGAGTAGAAAATTACAACATGTATATTACATGTAACATTGTGTTTGCTGGGATGTTATTAACATTTTTATTTCAAAATAACAAAGTTAACAGCAAAATATGATTAATTTGTTTTGTGAGTCGTTGGGGAAACAATTGTTTTCAACAATTTTAAATGAAACAATCTACATTTGTCAATAACATTGCTGGAAATACATTTTTAGCAATGTAAACCAGTCTTAAAGGGTGCAAGTGACAAACACGGGCAAACTGATCTGTTGAAAGAAGTGGGAGTAAGTCACATTGTATACTGTATAGTGTTATGTATTATGACCACGTCGGATTATGTACATACGTGCTGATACGCATTTGGAGTCTACGCTAGTCTAAGCTGGTTTAGTATGTGCGAAGCTCGTGAAGTGAAATATACTCGTTTTGCTGTGATAACATGGCGGACCCAACACTACAAACATTTTGTTGTCACCACACGAATAAATCGGACATGGCGTTAATAATAATGCAAGAATTCAACAGAGACGTGTACAACATAGTGTGCATGGTCTCGTCGGTAATTGGGATGCTTGGAGCAATTTATCAGGTAATTTGTCAGAGAAACTTGAAGGCCTTACCTTTCGCCGGTTTTTTCTCATGTAACATGACATAACGTGATATAAACGCGTCATTCTTCAGGATATCCAAGATTAATCGTGGCCTAAGAGATATCATTTTGCGGTTAGGATTTCTTGCAAAAACGTGACTGTCGGTCTGTTCATTTTAGGTGCATTTTTTTGCACTCTGCTTTTCCCACTTTCTTTCTCCCGCCACATTTGCGTTTACACCTGTTTGGTTTTGAGTGCAGAAAGTGTAATAGACCAAATATCAATTATATAAATAATAAGTAATGTAGATGACATGATATAGTAAAAAAAGAATAACAGAATGTTGCTTTTTTCGATTGTTATTTTTGTCATGTCATATGATTGATGTTAGGTGAAAGTCGGTAAGGGGTGTCTTTTTCTGCAGATTTGTTGGAGACAAAAGTTTATGAATAAATATAATAAAATACACAAAATACTTTACAGATATTACCTCGAGAAGATTCAAGTCTCCCTTATCGTTGGAACAACTCCTTGTCCAGAGGACGAAATATCATTGTGTGGCTTGCTGTTGCAGATTTCTTAGCATCTTTAGGTTTGGTTTGTTATTGCAACTGAATTGTTAATAATAAAAGATAATGTTAAAATAATAGATAAACATTTATTTAATTATTCTATTAAAAATAACTCATTGGCCACTAATGCAAAGAATGTTGTAATATATAAACTTGGCTAAATTTATGCAATAATACAACCAATATATAAGATACAATGAATGTGTAAGATAGTATGAGTCTGTTTTATCTGATTGATCTATACTTGATCAGGTGTATGTGTGAGATCAGCATTATGGATGCGTTACAAGTCTATCATGCCAATGGAGAATGACACTTCCAGTGTTGTTTTTTGTGCTATGTCGTCGGTAACGTATATTCTCTAAGCTTAATGGTCTTTATAGCTATAAAATTTATCAGAATATTAAGAAAGAATTGCTTATTTTTTACAGGCGTGGATTCAATATTTTTACATGGCCACGTGGATATGGACATTGTGTTATGCTGTGGATATGAAGTTACTGTTGGGTAACAAAAGTGGTTGTCCTGCATATTATCATGCTGTAGCCTGGATACTGCCAGCCATTCTCACTACATTTGGACTAATTATGTTATACATTCCAGATGCAAAGTCAGTATAGTTACAACTGATACTGTCCTATCATTCCTGTGTATATATTTAAGGTCCCACTGTAGTAGTCTGAATTGATAATATCAGAAGTAAAAAACACATGCTAACAATTCTTACATGCTATTTTCAAATTAAAAGATGTTTTTGTACAAAAGAACATTTCAGACTACTTAAGCATACTTATAAAATGCTTTAAAAACTATTTTTTCCCTTGACAATCAATAAGTTTAAAATTAACGTGGCAATATCATAAGGAAAGATAAATTAAAGAGAGTTGTATGTCATATTAACCTTTAAGCACTGACAGGAGTCTGATAGACTCCCAATAAAATAAAAAAACCTATTGTTATTTCACTCCCGCTTAATCGTGTACACATCGCGTCCGTCTATCTTTTCTTTGGTTCGTAAGATACGAAATGGCGACAAAGAAAGCCGTTTCGTACACTTTCTCAGGTAATTATTAAACTTCGAAATATTTTTGTAGGTCTGTGTCAGTGCTTAAGGGTTAATACGTTCAACCGATCTTAAGTGTTCTTTCATACAAGTATTTTTTTATTTAAAAATAATATAAAAATTTTTGTTTTCTCACTTCTGACGTTATCAATTCCGCATCAATCCAGGATCCCGCAGTAGTGGGATCAGAAGCCCTAAAAGCAATGATACTGAATGCAGAATGATCTTGCAGTTGTCACAACTCAACGACGTTATCCACTGCCGTGCTGCGTATTCTTCCAAATTATTGTGCCACATATGTGTTAATTGCAGTGGTTATGATTGTAAATCCTATCATGTACATCGCATCAACTCGGGATCTCGAGACGGTAGTTATGCACAGTATGGGCCAGATGACCGGCAGAGAGCGGAAGTTACTGCAAACAATTCGATTAAAATTCGCTCTCACCAATCTAGTCTATTACATGTGCTGGACGCCAAATCTAATCAACGGAATATTATTGTGGACTTTATGGTTCCAGCTACCGATTAAGGCGATTATCATTCTGTGGTACATAATGGTATGTTCGCGATGACTCGATTAAAATGCGTGTATGTAAATTTAGGAATAGGATATTCTTAAGATAAATCTTTGATCGGTAGGCTGTGACGAATCCGCTTCAAGCATTCTTCAACGCGCTTGTCTATCAAAGATGGACTAGAAGAGAGAAACTTCGTTTGGATTGTTGTCAAGACGTTGGAAGCACGAGTAGAAGTCGACAGAGTAAGAGAGATACGAGTATGCATTTCTCCGAGTCGTCTCCATTACTGAATCCAAAAACAGAACGTGTGCGGAATACACCACATATTAGTATAAATGGGTCATCCTCTCTCTAAAGAGAAAGGAGGAATTGTTACCAATTGTTTAATAATTCGTTTTGTAAATAAAGTATATAAAATCATTCTTGTATACGATGTCACACATTCAAAGATTTTTATCTTACCAAATAAAAAAATTGGATTATTTTAATATCTATAATATTTTAAAGAAATGTGCAATAATACATGTATATCACGAATTTCTACATAATAATGGCGTAATTGTGAATATTTTGAAATTTTATAAGATAGTCTAAATGTACAATAATCTGTTAAAAGGTTTTACGAAAAATTTTTTTTTATAAATATATAAAAAATATAAATAAAATAGGTAACTAAATGTGTAATGACATTTATAATTTGTAAAATCGAAATCATAATCTAACGTATCATAATCGTGATATTTTGTTTTTAATCCGCATATGGCAAAGTGATAAGGAGAGATACATCATTAAATAGAGAGCAAGAAATCGCAACATGCGATTCTCTTAAAATACAAAATTTGGTGCATCTCTGTGATATACTATATATTACATAATTACTTTTGAAAAATATGATGTATATTACATAATTATTTTTGAAAATTACTTTTGAAAAATACGATGATTAGTAATATTCTTTTCTTTTGTGATATGTTCTCAGCATTCTGTAGTGGTATAATAGACAAGAAAATATAGCAAAATATGCAGGTAGAGCATATAATAGGAGTTTCATTATTATAATAACATTTTGTACTTAAATATTATGTGTTATGTGCTAACTACTATTAAAATATACTTTTTTCTATATTATAATATCACGATCAACGGCGGTCACACATACACATCATTGTATATACATATCATATACGTTATCCTACTTTAACGTCAAATATAATTGTCATACAAATCGGCAATGAAAAAAGTACAAAATCTTATACTTTAAGAATTCGCCGATATCTACATTAGCCATCATGAGATTAATTATTGCGCCAGAAGCGAGAAAAATAACAAGCAAATGTTATCAATCATCGTTTATCTACGACAAATCTTAAATGATTAAGACCATAACGGCTAGCTTAAAATAAAGAAAAACAATTGATGGACAAAATCAATCTGTATACACGTGTATATAAGAATCTTGTATGAATACTAATAATTTGTTCTTCTTGAGTCAGGCCGATTCTGCTAAAAAAAAAAAAAGAAATATCGCTTTTCTATATTTTCTCGTCTCCGGCGTTATAGCTGGTAATGACTAAACGGAGGAATTGCAAATTCGTCAAATTATTGTTTTCTTGCACATAGAGTATTTTGTAATAAATTAAAAGAATAGGAAGACCTCTTAAAGATCATGAAAAATGTTGAAAGTCATGCTGCTTCATAAGAATTTTATCAAATATTTTTATGCAGTAAATTTCAAAGATAGTAAAATACTTATTACTTTAATTTCTTATTAGATCATTAAAATTTATTATAAATTCACAACAAAAAAAAGTAATTACGTGTTTTGATGTTTTCTCATTGGAATAATAGCACAACTTATATACAATATCTACTATAATTGCCTGAATGGCAATATTAAATTATTGATTGAAAAGTTTCATTAATTACATAAAATATGTAACCTGGTAACAATCTTGAAATATAAAAGTATAAAATAAGAAGATACAGAAATATTTATCCAATTTTATCTGTACCTCTTGTTCTTAAAATATCTGTTGTATATGTTACAAGATGATTAATAAAATCTTTCACTTATATTGACAATTCGTTTGGCACTTTGGCGAAGATTGCAGCATCATTGCGTTAATGTTTCAAAATAAAATAGAGAAAGAAAAAGGGCATCTTGCTCATACAAATACACTAAGTAGAAAATATATTTAGGGAGAACTTAAGCTTTAAGATTGTTCTGTTAAATTTACACCATCAAGAGGGAAGATTTGTAGCTCCAAGTGTCAAAGATGTGATTTCACAAACAATCATCTCAGCAATCCTCCACGCTAACTCTTCTTTAGCCTATTGATGATCAATTGATGAAATTATAAGTAGTTTTGAATACTTGATTATAAGTAGTCTTTTATAGTTGATAATCAACTATAAAATGTCAATATTGTAAAATATACTTACATTATCCTGTTCTATATTTACAAGTCGTTTTACAGCACGCGTTAGGCGAGATTCTGAAATTCGCATATAAAATTTTATGCAATTTTATACGCATGTGTATGCTGAAACTTTATCCTAAACATAACATTATGCACGACTTACCATATTTTCTATGAGGATCTGGTTCTATTTCTGTGATAAATCTACCTAAGTTGTCAATGTAACCAATACTCAATCTATAAAGAGAGTACATCAGATTATAAAGTGATATATTATAAAGCAGATGAGTTACTTGTGTGTAACTCAAAATTAAACACAATACCTATATTTATTACGTTTCCACAGGGAATCTGGATCGTAAAGTTGCCTGGTATCGATATTCAGATGATTGTTAATATTTTTTTTATTATCAGGTAATCTGTTGCCATAATTTCCTAGTTGAGAAGTACTTGGCATACTAGTACACACAGAGCTCACTTCACTGCTACAATCTGAACCTGAAGTCATATTTTGCGAATTAATATTATTTTAATTTTTGTACACAAGAGAATTTTTTTTTATTTTCAAATACAAACGTAACGTTCTTACCAGTAGTATCTTGCAAAAACAATAACGAATTACTAATATCACCAACCTGTTCTCTTTATCTTGGCATGTAGACTCGGACATGGACTGCTCTGAATAGTACTGATTAACTCTGATAAGTATTTATAATACAGCTGCGACGATAAGAAGGCCGGGAGATAATGCTAGAAGTATGTAAACGCGAATATTGACTTTGGTTCTGTTTACTTTGACGTAAGAGTTTATGCGTTGGAATGTTGTGAAATCTAAAAGATACATATGTGCGATGTACCTTGTTGAGAAAATTATATACAATTTTGTTGGGTTTATCGAAACAATCAGGTTGTGGTCCGCTCTCGTCCTCGCGGCAAATATTTTGTTCTACGTGAAAGCGGATCTTATCGCTAAATCCAAGGGGCATCGTTGCTTGTAAGCTGAAATACCTGAGCAAAATATAATAGTATTCGTATAAAATCCGTTCATTTTTCAATTAATAATTTCTAATTCTCATGCCGAATATGTGTGTGTAGTAGTGAAGCGTATATAGCTTAGAAATTACTTCTCATAAATGATAACGGCATCGGATTGAGCCTCTTCGGGATCGATTGCACCTTTCTTGTCTAAGAGATTCTGTTTGTAACTGATTACCGACATCCAAAAGTCCAACAACTCTCGCTTATTCTCGACTTCCATAAACTAAAACGTAAATGATGAATGAATCTCTATTTTAAACTCTTGCACCACAGAGTAAAGAGGAAGAAATCGGCTGTGTACCTCCATGAAATAAAAGAATGCGGTCTCATCATATAATATATCTGCTAACTGTACATTGCCACTGGTGAGCACGTCAATTTGGTGCTTACAATGAAATTCGCTTCGTAAAAAATCGTTAATATATCTGCAAAATATTTTATAGAAGTATATATAATCCAAAATATTACAAAAGAATAACATTCTTAAGGTGATGTTAGATTTACAATAGTTTTGAAATTTGTATTTTCTGTTTGTATAAATATGCATGGAAAAATACCAAATATTTTCAAGAATAAAAAAAATTTATAAATAGAAATTTATAAAATTTTTCAATCATAATCAATCAAAATCAATAAATAAATCAAAATAATTTTTGAAATTTGTAATACAATATTTGATATCTTTCCATGCATTGACATTTGTACTTCTACTCTGTAAAAGAATTTACAATTCTATACAACAAAGTAGAAAAATAGTGCAAACTATAAAATTACATTATGTCAGTATCCAGTATTTTCTTAAGATGTATTGTGTCTCACTCACTCGTTTTCTAATATATCGTATACTATGCTTTGAACAGCAGATAGGCACCGTAATATAGGCTCAATGTTCTCCTGTGTAACAGCTTTCTCCATGTCTAGCTTTAATTCTTCAGATATTTGATTTATACCTAGAGTTTCCTTAATAATATACTTCTTGTAAATCCTTAGAGCATCCTGTTTGCTTGTTGTCATGTCGTGTCTCTTATTTCCACAATCGTGGTTTGATTGTCGCGTTTCATTTACCATCTGACTAGTCTTTGGCATACCACTTAAAATGGATGTCATACTACTGCTACTCGTGTTCTCATCACATGGTATTTTGCTTGTTTGAATATCTACATCATTAGAGAGTATGTTGCAACTGAGATTCTCATTATTATCTAAAGAAGTAGGCAAAGCATCTAACAGTTCCTTTTGATTCGAGCATCTGGCCTTCTCTGCACAACTGGGCATGCCAGATGCGCTGCACAAGCATTCCACCTCTAGCCAAAACTTTATGAGAGCTACGCGTTTTCTAGTGTCCATAAATTGAATGAAATAACCAAGGGCACTCTTGTCCGTAAGTACTTCCGGGAGGGCTTTAGACAAACGAGAGCTGAAAGAGTATGTCTCTTTAATGTCATTGTTGAGAATTTCTTCCTCTGCTTCCTCCTCGAGACTGCACAATGTACTCGACGACGTTTGAATGGATGCGTCGCCATTGAATACATCTAATGCGAGATTTCCTGAACTTGTCGATTTTGTAGGTGAGTTTTCTAACAATCCGGACTTATCTTTCTGTCCTATAAGCATCAAATGAAACTTTATTACAGAAAGGATCTGAAATTAAAGAATATTATTACAAAGAATAAATATTCATACAAGCAAAATGGATCACTGCAGTATACAAGAACAATTACCACAATCAAGGTAAATGTCAGCAATTGGATGCAATTAAATGATTAAAACATTAATAATATATTTATATTTAATATTTAAAAAAAAATCTAACATTTTTTTAAAGGACTTTACTTTTTTATATGCCAATTTGTAGTGTTATTTAATGAGTATTCAATGAGATAGAGTCTGTATTAAGCAATAATTAGGACATGATTCATTTTTTGGACTAATCATTAGTATACAATCAGTATTATCTTATATCTCACTAAAATTATAATTGAAATTATACTTGATTATTTTATTCCTTATTAATTTTCAGCCACTAACAAATCAAAGTTTTATATAAATATTAGTTCTCATAGTTTTCTATTCATTATTTATTAATAAAAATATGAAACTGATCATGCTTTTCTACTAGTTCAGTCACTAGGACATTTTTATTACTTCCTTCCAATTTTTATTTATTTCTTCAATAGAGAAAAAGAACGTTATATCTTATAAAAATACTTTGGAATTGTTTGCGATCTTCTACAAACAGAAAATAAATATTTATCCATCATATTCAAGGAAAGTTATGAATATTAGGACTTATTATAGATTGTTGAAATGGTTATACAAAATATTTTGTAAGCTTAATACACTTGATATCTTTTTAAAATAAAATCAATTGCACATTTATATGTTGATAGATAAATAATACATATGGAGGATTTGATTTTTTGGCTTATATAATATATATGTGTTGTAAAGACATATAATTATGAAAAATGCATGTTTGTTCCATCGAGAATAACAGATTGTATGTACACTGATAATCTTCCTGATGTGTTTCCTCTTTTCTTTTACCACTTAAAGTATTTCAAGCAAAAGAATTTGTTAGGTAAATACTAAAAAATAGAAATCGTAAGTTTTTCCGTTCAGATTTTTCTACAATACATAAACATTGTGTAAATAAAAAAAATAAACTTTTCTACATACACTACTCATCTCTCAATAAATGTGCAATCGATTTTATTTTAAAGTATTAAGAGTACAAAGCTTAAAAATACTTTATATGACTATATTTTATTACTCAATAATAAATATCGATTTTCATAACTTCCTTGAATTTGGTGCACAAATAATTATGTTCTATTTTTAGAAGATCGCGCACAAGTAGTTTTCAATGAATAGTTAAGGTCTCGTCAGTGGATCAAAACGATTTATTTTTAACGTCCTTCTTTGCATAATATTTAAACTAACTTTGCTTTCGAATGCAGACGTGCGAATAAAAATTGCCGCAGTATGTCTTAAATGTCAAAGGGTCACTTGTTTGGGAACGAGGTTATGCGCGTCATATTGAAGAGGCTCGTTTTTCCGTCTCTTTCTTTCTCTCTTTCTGTCGTGATGTTGTGTTTGTGATGGAGCGAAGCAACAAAAATATAATTACCAATCTTCTTAAAAAATTGGAGCATCGTTCGTGTTAGCGCGTAACATGATAGGAGTCGCCGATGTAGGAAGGGTCACCGAGATAAACAACGGCCGCGAAGCTACGTGCGCATCCCACAGAAGATGAATGGAACACATCAGTTTTTCTTGTAAATGTCAGATTACAACGCGCAAACGTAATCAATCCGGCTGACAGTCCGAGAGCTTCTTTGATGCCGACGTCGATCCACACCCCGGTTACGCGCGTACGCAGCGCACATTTCGCGGTGGCGTCATTACATGAGTTCGATCAAGTGACAGATTACTGTTGTTTGCATCGCCGATTACGGCAGTTTGGTGCAGGTGTAGTAATTCGGCGGCATTCGGCGATCCAAGTCGTTTAAGGCTGGTTTACATCGAAAAAGTAGCAGCTGTTACGTCCACGATAGATAACTATATAGGGAAATTTGAAAGTA